AAGGATGCCTTCGTGGAAGACTTTCTAAGGGAAATTGGCTCCTAGACACGTTACACAGGGTAAAACCACGAAAGCGCAACCAGTCCCTTCGCGGGATTCGAAACTCGGACCGAACTACTGGTGTTCAGCTACTTTACCGCTTCGTGCCTCATTTCAGAGCGGATTCGCTATATATGAAACAGAGTAATGTGCTGTTACCGTATTTAGCAGCCTGCCTTTTTCCTTGACCTACCATAAAAAAATAAAATAGCAAAATTATAACAGCGTCTCTAAAAAGATGCTTTGCGATATTCTCATTAAATCTTTATCATTCTGCGCTACTAAAAAACGAAGTACGATTATTTCAAATTCAAAATTTTATAACATTACTTTACAGAAAGCGATCTCATGTCTTCTAAAAATGAAACCCAACATCTGTTTCTACTCAAGCGCTTACTTTCTAGACAAAGTAATTTCAGTGTAACGTACGTTCAGTTTTATCTAACTTTGAACGGAAAAAAAAAAAAAAAAAAAAAAAAATGTACATAACAGGCAAAGATATTAACAGCACATAAATTTACTCAATTATATTGGATTACCAGAGGAGAAAAAAATAATTCCGATGAGATAATTCTCTGAGAATTCATAAACGCTAAATTAAGAATAAATTTTATAAAATGTTTACTAATGAATACATGTATTTGCATAGTAAGTTTCCTTTTTTAAAAAATTTTTCATCTTTATCACGTTTATCGGAGTGTCGTATTTAACTTCACAATTATGCTCCGAAATTTCATTGCTGTAGATTGGATTATTACCAATATATAATTCTACTAGTAACCAGAGCCAGTATTAGAGGTTTTTGCTGCTCACTACAATATCTGTGGCTCTTACTTCTGCCACGCGCCGCCAGTGGCTGAGTGGTTAAGAATATTGATTACTGGAAGTTCGACCTGGTTTCGGTTCGATCCCAGGCGAACCAGCTGGCTGCATGGTTTGTTTTCCTGTTGTGCAACATGAATACGACCCAGTTTCCTTCAGCAATTAGGCTCACCCGCGGCCGAGCGGTTAAATCGCTGAACACTGGTAGTTCCGACCTGGGTTCGAATCAAGGCGAACGGGCTGGCTACATGGGCGTTTTCATAATCTTCCCCGTGTGTAACGTGTATGGGGAGCTTTGCTATAAACTAAACTAAGCCTTCAGAAACTTCCTCCACGAAGGCATCTGCTATCTGCCACCTCGTGGCTTTGCTATATTCAAAGAGCCTAACCCAATTCTAGCACTCAGTTCCTCTCTAAATTCTAGCGGGCGAGCGCTAAAGTCGCCTATTACTGGTAGTTCAACCTCGGCACATTATCTGAGTTCAGCTTTGAATGAAAACAACATAAAGTGTTATAATGAACGATTAGTTTAAAGATTTCACTTGATACTGAAATGCATAAAATCAAATTGCGTTTCTACATATCAGATTTATAAAGTACAGCTGATAATTGTAGGAATATCAGGTTCATAAAGAACAGTTGATAAATACATGAGAAGTGGGAAGGAATTCATAAATTACAGAATTTAATGGTTGTAACGAAAATTTTAAGCACACGAACGTTCTTCATAAAGTTATGAAAAAAAAAAAAAAAAGCAGTCAGTACCTTTAGTGCGGATAGTAATCACTACCAAAAATCTATGCTTTTCTGCCAATTTTTTGGTAGTTTTTCAAAACCTTCGGGTCGGAAACTTGGTGGCCCGAGTCCAAACACAGGTCAACCTCATTTCGGACGTCTTGTGCAGAAGTGAAGATAGGACCAGCAAGATGTAGCTGCAAAGTCCGAAAAAGTGCGATGTCAGGGTTATATGGTGAAAGATCCCTTTCGAGTCCGTACAGAGGCACCGTAATGCAGACACGTATGGTATCTTGATGGAACGTTACCTTTCTGCGCCGGAACTCAATTCGATTCTTTTCCTTGATAGCAGCGTCAACATGCACTAGCATCTCGTTGTATCCTTTACTGTCAAGGGTTTTACCTTTTTCCATATACTATTTTTGATTAATACCACGGCAATCCCACCAAATACAAAAGAATGATCTTTTTGTTAGTCAAATTACGCTTTACGATGCTGCCGACGGACTCACGGGCGCAGATCAACTAAATTTTTGGCCTATGTTGTTGAAATAAATTTATTTTTCAACACAAGTGACTATCTGGTCCAGAACTTTAACTTTGCGTTGATATTCGAGAAGAATAGTACAGGCTCGAACACGTCTGACCTTATCTGCTTGAGTCAGCTCATGCGGCGCACAGCTGACGTTTATGTGATGCATAGTGCGACTAATGGAGAGATTCATTTTTATCGATAATACCACGGCAATCTCACCAGATCCAAAACATGATCTTTTCGTTAGTCAAATTACGCTTTGCGACGCTGCCGACAGGCTCATCGGGCGCAGACCAGCTAACTTTTCGACCTGTATTGTTTGTGTAAACTTGTCTAACTTTGAAAGAAAAAAAAAAAAAAAAAAAAAACTATGTATTAAACACGCAAAGATATTACATAACATAAATTTACTCAATTTTATTGGATTACCAAAGGAGGAAAAAATACTCAGATAACTCTCTTAGAATTCTTAAACGCTAAATTAAGAATAAATTTTATAAAATGTTTACTAATAAATACAAGTATATTTAAATAATAAATTTTTCCATCTCTACATATACCACGTTTATCGGAGTGTCGCATTTGACTTTACAATTAAGCTCCGAAATTTCCTTGCTGTAGATTGGATGATTACCAATATACTTACAATCCTACTAGTAACCAGGGCCACTATTAGGGATTTTTGCTACTCAGTACATTATCTGTGGCTCCTACCACACGCCACCATTACCGAGTGGTTAAAACTACTGAATACTGGAAGTTCGAACTGGTTTGGGTTCGATGCCAGACGAATCAGCTGGTTGCATTGTTTGTTTTCACCGTGTGTAACATGAATACAAGCCAGTTCCCTTCAGCAATTAGGCCCTCCCGCGGTAGAGGAATTAAATCGCTGAACACTGGTAGTTCCGACCTGGATTCGAATCAAGGCTTAACGGGCCGGCTGCATGGACGTTTTCATAATTTTCTCCATGTGTAACGTGTATGGGGAAGCCAATTTCTCTAAGAAAGTTCAACATGAAGGCATCCTACTGTGCTTTGCCATAATAACCTAATCTAAGTCCTTCAGAAAATTCCTCCACGAAAGCCTGCCATCTTAAGAAGGTAACCCTCGTGGCTTTGCTACATTCAAAGAGCCTAACGCAATTCTAACAATCAGTTCCTCCCTAAATTCTAGCAAGCGAGCCGCCGAACACTGGTAGTTCATCCGGAGTTCAAGCCTCGATGAACGAGTTGGATGCATGACCGATTTTGGTGTTTTCCAAATTCACCTGCTTTGGCGTAATCAAACTCTATAATTCTAAACAAACTGACGTTCGGTTCGGCTCTAGCACCACGTTCCAAATTATAATTACAGTTCAACAAATAAATGTCTGGCGTATATACATTCGAATAATCTAAGTAAAAAAAAAAAAAAAAAAAAAAGGGGGGCTTTTTAATTTCTTCCACAACCAAGCATGCATGCACATAAATCGAATAAAGAAAACTTATGGAGTGCAATAGGGTTCTAATCCATAACATATTTAGTTAGTGATCGCCATCTTGGGAGCTATAAATATGCTATATTGACGGGATGGGAAGGAGAAAATTTTACTTCCTGAGTGAGCTAATTCAGAACTAGTCATTATTTCATCTGTCATCTTAAATTTAGGATGTCAAATTACGTGACTAACAAAAAACCTAGTATTTATATGAAGCTTGATAAAAATCAAAGTTTTGAAGACGGGTATATGTGATCATGTTCGGTTGATTACCATTATGATCAGCAAATAACAAACAGCAATTTACTGATGTCTTTCTTATCTTTATATTCAGATGTAGTTTTCAGGGCAACTAGAGAAAATTTATTAATTACTTTTATTATTTTTGATACTTTATACGTACGAAGATACATACTTGTAGGAAGAGAGATATAAATATCATATTCGAACAAATAAAAATAAATCGTGACGTGAAGACCCTAGAGATACGGCTTCTGATTGCTTTTCAAATTTTTACCATATTAGTAACGATATAATCGAATAATCTTTCAAAGATTATTGTTTACCGATTTTAGGTAACAACTAGAAAACATTTTTTCGAACTTATCCTCAAACAAGTTTGCTATTGGTAATGAATACTGCTGTATCATGAATCAGGTACGGCGCTATGCATTTTGCTGACTTTGTACGCAATAAATTCTGTTGTCAAGTGCCCTTCCCCCAAAATTCTAAAATTTTATTGCTTGATGCTTCGCTGAATTTTACAATTTTGCTGTACCTAAATTCTGCCGTACCGGCAGTGATCATGATTTCAAATTCCCCCTCCCCGAGATTTACTGTGTTATCTGAAAAACAGCTCACAAGTTGCTAAAAATAGCTTAGCTATAAAACTGGTTCCACAGCTTTTAGCAACGGCCTCCCGTTGTGCGTTTGGAAACTCAGCTTTTGAAAGAAAAGGAAGGGAAATAATTTCTCCCTGACTACAGTATAGATCAGGTCCGTGACTTTGTTTGAGCTACTGCAAAATGTTCTGAAGTACACTTTTTTCTGTTTCGGCAACATTCATCTTGAGAATTCAACACCTGTTCATTAGCCCTTAGTAATTGACAGAAATGCTTTTAGAAAGTAGTGGGTTCATTGATACCAACAAAATGGTTGGTATCAATAAACTGGGGATACGTTAGTTTCAGTTGTTGGGTTCAAATGAACCTTTCAAATACTAAAAAAATCCTTTTGCATAATCGAAAGAATTTCATCTGAGAATAATTTTTCTACTTAAAAATGAGTTTTGCAGTACTTTTTAAATACTACTTGTATTTTTATTTTCGAAAATTTTCATAAATATTGTAATTAATTATTTCCAATTTTAATAACTCGCAGAAAAAACGCAATTTTCAAGAAATTTTTTTATTATGGTTATTCAAACTTATATACAGCATCTTTTATATTCCTTATACATTTGACACTGCATGCTTCAACCTGCATGTAAGTTTCTCTTCCTTAGTAACTCCTGACCCAGAGACGTCTCAATGAAAGCCAAATCATGCACAAAATTTTCACCTGGAAAAAAAAAAAAAAAAAAAAAAAAAAAAAAAAAAAAAAAAAGATAAAATATTTTTAACACCATATTCTCGACCCCCCCCAAAAAAAAGAAATTGCAAGAAATACAAATTTCTAACAGAAAAATGCATTTTCAAACAGCTGAAATTGTTTCACAAATTAATAATGCAGACCCCAAAATATTTTCATTTGCTTCTGCAAAATATTTTCATTTGTGTCCCGTCTGAAAATTTCACTGATTGCAATGAATATATTAAAAAAAAATCTTTTATTTTCAAGTTCTTTCATGCAAAACGTCCAAATTTGGTACAAATCAAATTCATCCCCCCTCTTTTTGATAGCTACAATATTATACTTAACAGTTTTAATAGCTATCAGTATGTAAACAACATAATGTAACACCATAAAAGAAAAACATAAATGATGACATTTTAATTTTGGCATAGAGAAATACATATTTACCTCAAAAGAGAGCTTGTATTTCTACCTTCTACGTCAGAGTCAATAACTGAAATGTCCAGATAAGAACTGAGAAGAAAAGAACCATAATTAGTTTAATTAAGATACAATAACACGCCAACCAAGTATTAATTTAGAAGTCAAGCAACAAAAATCAGCATCATATTTTGAAATATTCACTATTTGAAAATATAACGCTGATTTTGGTTGCTTGACTTCTAAATTAATACATAATTAATTAACCATAATTAAGTAACTATAAGAGTTCAATATCATGCACAGCTAATATCTATTTTAGAAATAAACCAACTTACCTCAGGGAAAGCCTGGTTTGTCTTAGGAACATTAGCTGTAACTTCTGGCGTAGAAAAGTCAAATTTTTCACTTCCGAACCTAAGAATGAAAGAAATAAACTGCTATAACATAATTTAAAAAAAAAAAAAAAAAAAAACCACGAATAAATAAATAACACATAACAAATTTAAGCATTAAGCTATGTATGACTACCACCCATCTCAGACAGTGCGACAGATATTGCTGTATACTGTTTCGCCATACCCTGTGTAGCTATTATATCATGCTGTATAACCACAGTTTAGAAAAATTACAAAATGTGTTATTTATATCTATCTAAAATGGTACATTACTACATGATTTGTAAGAATAAATTAGAGGGTTCTGCGAATGAAATTCCTTCCAATTAAAAAATGTAGGAATAAAGAAAATGCAGGAATTGCAAATGCAGAAATGAAAAAGGGATTATATTTTTTGCACAGGAATCCAGATGACATATTTTTCAACATTTTAGAAATTTCAATATTAATTTTAGGGGCCTAACATATTAGGCCCCTAAAAGCAGAAGAATATAGTTTTTAAATGTTCAGACAATCTTCCTATGAGAAGAATTCCTTTGAGAAGTACACATCTGAACCACAATTAAAAAAACATGTACAAGAACAGAGCTGAGGACTTCTGTTTGCAGAAAGTCTGTCACATAACATATGAAAAGTTTCTTATTGGTAGATTTTGATCAGACAGATATTTTATTGTTATACAGAGAAAGCATTCACTTCCCTTTCTACTAGAGATAATTCAATTTGGACAATGGCAAAAAGGCTAAAAGCAAGCCTGAGCGTATTGGTCCCATTCTTGGCACTAGTTTGGTTTTACGCTCAAAATACACGGCAGATATTTTCTCAATTACCTGCATCCCAATATCAATTCAATTCAGCTTTTGGTGGAATTTACCATCTTGTGACATATTTTTCAAAAACTACACTTCACAACATGCATACATGACAAATACACAGAACCATAAATAAACAAGCAATAATATATATTTATATATAAATTTTACGAAAATGATCATAAAATGTTCCAACGCTAAAAGAAAGTTTTAACATCCAAGTAAATGACATAATAAAAAAAGCAAGTTGAACAGCGAGCACATGAATAAAATGTGCATACACCTGTAAAAATATACCATAGGTAACTGACACGAAGCATTTCGTAGCAAAATATTAGGGAAGGGATAAAAAGCATTTTGTCCAATAATACATAAAGTTTCCAATACACGTAAAAGATGGTGAATTCAATTTAGATCGCAAGAACATGCTCATACTTTTGAAATATTCAATTATTTCAGCAATTCCTTGTGAATTGGCATTTACCCTTTCAATATTTCCCAACAATTTAGTGTGAATGGAGGAATAAATTGTTATAACAGAATTGAACAATTATTAGCATCCCCTCATACACACACACATTAAAAAAAAAAAAAAAAAAAAATTACCTTACTTTGTAAAAAAAATCATCCGGGCAATGATTCTCCTTTGACACAGATGCAGTTGTATCAATAATTTCTGACTTCAATCAATAAAAAAATACGCATATTTTACTTCGGAATTAACTTACTACGAAAATCATAAACACGAGGTAGTCGATATAAAGAATAAATTATTTCTCACCTTTCGAAAACATCCGCTTTGTTCGGAATCTTCCACATCTCGGGAATTTAATTTCATATTTTTTCTTGAGCTCGACGTTTACGCTTTGGAATTCTGGATCTTTTATTAAAACACAGGATGTTTTTTCGGTCTTCCTTGATATTTTCGCATATTTTTCGCAAACTGACCACAGTAGTACAAATAAATGTAAACAAAACGAGTGCGGAATAGCAATGCAATAGGGTTGCCGTAAACGTCATTTCCGCTGACAGATACGCTTTTTCAAAGCAATGTTTAGTGAAAACTGTGTATAAAGGAATATATGAAACGCTTCTAAATATTATTTAGAAAAAAATATGATTTATAACTGATATCAAAATCAATTACTTCGTGAATTTTTGCAGAAATAAGATTACAATGTTAAATTTTAACTCGTAGCGCCATCTATTGATGGCTTTCCAAACTACACATTAAAATTACGTATTTCAAACTAATTTTTTTAAAATATAATATTTAAGTAAATTTCATTCCAAACCTGATTCTAACATTTTGATTCCAAAACTGACCTATTGCTTTATATTTCTGCCAAATTTCACGCAACATAGTTTCTTAATTAGCGATTCTGCGTGTAAAACAAATTTTTAGTATTGTAATGCTGCTGTAGTAGACCACCTTAAGTAAAGACTCCAAACTTTTAATATGCCTGTGAAAGTCCGAATTGCTGGAAATTTTGATGTGAGGGAGTGAAGTTTTTTCCAAAATAAATCTAAAGTCGTCCCAATTTGTTGAGACTTGCTCCTCTAATTTTGAGTATCGATTTTGAATATCTAAGGTAATCAAGACAGAGTAGTGATCGGAGTCCAATTCCTGAATCACTTTAATTTCATTCCGAAAAAATATATTATAAAAGGCAGCCAGATCAAGAACTGCAGAGGACCCTCTTGCAGGGTAGAAAGTCGGGAGGGTAGGAGCTATGATCTGAACATGGTTACTCTGGCACCATGAATTTAGACTAATACCATACCTGTTCCTATTTGAACAAAACCATGCGGTATGGCGTGAATTTAGATCACCAGCAATAATTAGGTGATTTGAAACATTCAAAAGTTTATCAAAATCACTGACAGGAAAAGCTGGCCTTCCACGTGCTGCTGATTGTGGAGGTAAATAAGCTGAGACTACTTGTCAGCGGGGAGGAATTTTGAAGGAAAATTTTGATAATTGTCGCTTCCAAAAAATTTAAATCAGGGGACGGTATCATGTGGTGCTTTAAGGAACGCTTCACATAGATACAAGTGCCACCACTGGGATTTCTGCCCTGTGACACCCTGTCAGTACAGTAAATGTCATAATTCCCAATTTTGGGAGTATTTCCCTGGGGTAAGGTGAGTCTCTTGGACTAAAAACACGTCAATATCATGCTCTACTACAAAATCACGAACTTCGTGAATTTTAGATGTTAATCCATTGGCGTTCCATGTGCCAATGGTCAGTTCTCTGATGGTGTTTGAACTGTTATTCATAAAATTGAATTTTAGGTCGTTAATAGAGGTTCTGCTCTTGTAACTAAGCTTAATAGCCAATGAGAGCGTTAAGGAATGATGTAAACACCTGCATTTCAAACTGTGTATAGTACTCGAGCTCATTATTGCTGTTAAAGGAAACTGAGCGAAGGTCACACGATATTTATTCCAACGCGAAATTTTATTTAACAACAGACAAGCTGGGGAAAGGATATAATCTATTTGCAATGGAGAAACAAAACGAGGAAAACTTAACGTTTGTATGGATTCTTAAAAATTTCAGTATTCAAGTTCAGTTAAAGAATTCAAAGCATGATTATTTTTTAAGCCCGTTGTTTGAGTTGAACTCTTTACCCGGCATGAAATGGTGCATTAAATTATATCCGCGAGGGAACTCGAATGAAAATTATATAAGTACTTTTCTCAGCAGAAAGGATAACCTTCCAGAAGCTTGTAAAATAAGGTACACTATTAAATTCATGGCTTCCAATGAAATCGAAAATCCTACCAAAAAAGAAATCCGTGCCGCAGCCACTGTATTCGAAAAACAAAGTGGTTGGGGGTATTCAAGATCCATTAAAAGGAAGGTGCTTTTAAGGGCTCTTATTAGCGATATTCTAGTTATAAATTTTATTTTGAATTCACTTTCTGAAAGTAATGATCAAGAGATACCTTTCGCAGTGTCTTATAACAATAGTTTATTCACGGACGTCTTGCTAGGTGCTCCTGGTGCAGAATATAAAGTGCATAAAGCTATCTTGTGGGCGAGGTGGCCTGAACTGGCAAAAAAAACTCGATGAACAAAAGTGTTCCTACCAAGATTTCGATATCGAATCTAACGTTCTCGAAGCCATGATCAGATATATTTATACTGGAAAATTAGGATACGTGTTTAGCTTCGAGAAGGTCTCTGTCACTGCAGCAAAATATGGACTCCGAATTCTCAGTCCTCCGCCTGGTAATATGAAAACGTATGAAAGTCGCATTAATATTGAAAAAATTTCCTTTGTGTGGTCAATAGAGAACTTCTCCAGCCTACCCGTTAATACAGAGTTGTATCACGAATTTAAGAGGGAATTTAGTAAATGGATTTTAAGAGTACACATCTGCGAAAAAACGGGAACTGATCAGATCTTTGGTATATTCATTCGCAAAATACCTAATCGTAACCTCAATCGGATTTTCGTCACTAATTCTTCTGAAAATGAACATATGTTTGAAAAGGATGAAAATTGGAAATATGCTGAGTTTTCGCGGAATATATCTTCAGATCCAGATGATATATTGCTACTCAGATGCGAATTTAAATTATCTGATGGCAGTTTTTATTCTGAGGTGGTGGAATCTTCTTGCTTCTTTGCAAGTTCGATCGAAGATACTAACTTAAAAAGAAGCCTTCGAAATCTTTACGAAAATGGAACATTATCTGACGTTACTATAGTAGCTGATTCGAGAAGATTTTCCGTGCATAAATTTATTGTGTGTTCCCAATCTTCGGTATTTTGCAAAATGTTCGAAACCGAAATGGCAGAATCGCGAAACAACCTGATCGAGATTTCAGACGTGGTTCCTGATATTTTACATGAAATGTTTCTTTTTCTATATACTTGAAAGGTGGGAAAACTATGTGAAGAAATAGTTATGCAGCTTTATTCTGCAGCTGATAAGTATGATATTTCGGCTCTCAAAAATGTGTGCTCGTCCTTTCTCAAATCCAGTATTACTGTCGAAAATGTGTGCAAAATTCTCCAGTTAGCTGATATGCATTGCGATGATAATTTGTACCAAGGTGCTTTGGAATTTTTTTCTGATCATCTGCAGGAAATTTATTCAACAGATGAATGGAAAGAGCTGCCCGACAAGAATTTTTGTGTAAAAATTCTACAAGATGTGACAGCTCGTATGAAAAGTACAAAATGATTTATGTGCCAATTTCACA